AGCAAGTCTGGCCTACTGGTCACTCAAGCCTGGGTGACACAGCATCTGCTCAAGTAAGCTCTTAAATATGAGCTTCCACAGCTCTTGGAGGCAGTGATAGGCAGAGCACTCACAGGTGGGGCTTGTATCTCTGTCTATGTCCTCCTTTCACACACTGTGAATAAAGGTTTCCTTAGGTAGCTAATTCCACCCATGCAAACAGGCGTATTTCACGTCAGTTCAGAGCTGAATTCTTTTTTTATTGTCCTTTTGGTTTCTGGACTATACCTGGTGGTTCTTCAAGCTTACTCCTGGCCTCTGCACTCTGGGATCATGCCAGGGGATCATCATATGGGGTACCAGGGATCGAACCCAGGTCAGCCACATGTAAGGCAAGTGCACCTACCAGCCATGAAAGCTGAATTCTTACTAACAAGGTGGAAGATCAGAGATGCAGAGATAATTATCTCTGGATTATCAGAGATCCCACTTCTGACAATCTGATCAGACACCCTTGGTCCAAACTGCCCTGTCAAACTTTGGCTTTGGGGGGGAAATAAATGTGGCAGTCTTCCCGTGCAGTGCCTGTCTAACAATCCTTAGCCTCTCGTCATTTATGCACAATAGAATAAAAATCCAAAATTCCTTTGTATCACATCAACTTCATCAAGATGAAAATAATATCGCTCCCTTCTTCTCTTGCCACTATTCCATCTACTTAAATTTTTCGAGAGGTATGGCTGTGTCACTTTCTATGACACTGGGTAACACATTGAGTAGCACTGTAGCACTGTCGTCCCGTTGTTCATCTGGTCTTTCTATTGTGAGACTTGTTGTTACTGTTTTTGGCATACTGAATATGCAGCGGGATACTCTCGGTAGCTTGTCAGGCTCTCTGAGAGAGACAGAGGAATTAAATCCAGGTTGGTCGCAAAGGCAAACGTCCTACCCGCTGTGCTATCGCTCCAGCCCACTGAGTACAACATAAAAATGTATTACCTTCTAGTTCTGTCACTTAAAGGTGGTCACAAAAGACAAATCAAGGAATTGGCTGGGCTGGGTAGCTGCATAAGTGGGCAGTCTACTCTAGCGTGGTATTACTTGCTTCTTGGTCCCTTTCATCTTCAAAGGCAGCCAGGAGCAATCAGGCCCTGTTCCCATTGCAGCATACTGACCCTAACTTCCCTCTGTCCTTTCACTATTATGCACAATGGACCCACTAGATAAAGATAATCTGAGATAATCTCCCCATCTCAATATAATCGTATCTGTCAGGGGCTGAGGAAGACCTCTTTGGGGGAACATAATTCTAATTACCATCATGCGTTACTTCTGCATAGAATGTCCATTGTCAGATCCCCAATTTCTTAGGCCTTGGAAAAGCTACTTTCTCATGTCACCCCCTCATCCCTGCTGCCCTCTGTGCCCTCCTGCCAGGGGCTCCTTCCTTTCTCTTCTGCCTCTTATACCTCTCCCGCAGCACTGACTCTGCACTCAAGCATGTCTCTCTGACACACTGTGACTCACTGTGTCTTACACGTTTTGGGAGAACCTCAGGATTGAACTATAAAAGACCGCAGGGTAGAAAAATGAATGTGGGATTTGACTGAGTAAAAGACCTTGCCTAGGAGTGGTAGCAGAGGCAAATCCAATACATTCATAGGACTTCTGTTCTGAGTTATGAACTTTAGAAATTAGTTCTGAGAGCTTTTAACTTTTTTTTTTTTTTAAATCACATCATCAACCCAATCTCTTAATTCTTTAGCTAGGAAGGTACTGAAGCAAACTTAAAAGACCAATCATTTGCATCTAAGGCTCTTTATAATATTAATGAGATTTGCCATGAATCATGTTGTCCAGATTTTAAGCATCCTCAAAGGGGCAAGGGGCAAGCCATCTCCCACCTGTGTGGTTAATGTCAAAAGAAGTGATACTATTTGCACTCTTTCTGAATTCCAAACAACAGCTACACTAACAAATCAGGGATCTAACAAAACTAATTATCTCCCTTAGAGATTTAAAAGCAACTCTGCAACAATATTTGGTACTTCAGTACAAGGAAGTTCTTTCACTTGAAACAAAGGAATAAAATATTGAAATTAAGCAAAGCTTAAAGAGCCCAAGTATTTACCTAGCAAGCCAAAGAATAAGTCCCGTGAGTGGGGGAGAGATCTATTTTTAAAGACAATCCTTTGCCAGGAATATCTAATGTCACTAACAACCATAAGCACAGAAATCTAAAGACATGGAAATAAACTCATTGTCTATATTCCCAGTAATAATCACTTTTCCTATTTGAGAACAGTCTACTTTTCTATTTGTTCTCCTCTTTAGCTATAATAACGAACCTAAATCATCAACCTAAATCTTGTTGGGTTAGTTTTAGGTTGGAAGAATGTGGAAGTCTTGAAGTCACAAGCTGTGCTTAAATGTGCCTTTTGTTAAATTTCATTATTTGTCCTAATACTAAGAAAACAAATAGGATTTTTGAATCCAGATCCAAATGTGCTTTAATTTGCACATTTGCAAAGGGGAAACTGAGGCATGGCTACTTCCTCTAGATCAGAAAACACCCTAGGCTGGAGTGGAGGCTGTACTCACTGGGGAATGCAGCCTGAAGACTAGAAAGTTGTGCAAACATGTACACATGTGTATATACATGCAGCTCACATGTGCACATGCTTACAGATCAGATGCATTTAGAAAGGGCACACATAATTTCTCAGTACTTGTGCTGGGTTTCTGCAAAGCTGGAAATTTTCCTGTAACATTTAACTCAATGAACACCACTAACACTACTTGGCTAAAATGGGGCCAGCCTGCAGTTGAATTTGTAGAAATAGTCATGTCATTGATGCTGCTGCCTGCTGTTTGGGCATTTCAAGCCTTTCCTATTATTAAATATTTGTCATATACAGGCATCAAGGCCACTTGGGAAAAATCACCTCAAGTGTTTGGAATGGGAGCTGGAGTCATTTGAGATGAGAACAAACATACAAAAGCTACTCACAACCTAATGAAAAGTCACTGCACCTTAGAAGCCTATTACTGTCTATCAAGAATGCAAACAATAGGTTTTGTAATAAGCGCAATGAAAGGTTTAGTTAGAAGAAGAACTAGTTCCCACTAGAACAAGAAGTGTTTACCTTGCGCTGAGTAGATCCAATAATCTTGAGTGGCAATGGTATTAATGTTTTAAGAATCAACAGAAGCCGCAGTGGGACCTACAAATTGCGTTTTCCATAAAAGTAAAATGCCACTGGAATTACACTGTCCTAACTTACTCTATTCTAAAAACAAATTTTCTTCCATCTTGCATCTCATCCAAGGAAACAATTTTACTACGTTCAGCATAGTAGCAACTGGGGGGGAAATGTGTTTCATCTAGAAACAAAAGTGAGAAAACTCCACGAAAAACACGGCGCTAGGTTTCCAAGTTCTGAGCATAAAGCTACGAAAATGCAAATTAAGACTGTTACAGTAACCAAACTTTTATGTTTCAGTACCCTTAAAAACAAAGACAACAGGGCTGGATTGATAGTACAGCGGGGAGAGCAACTAATCCCGGGTTCAATCCCAGGCACCCGATATGGTCCCCTGAGCACTACCACCATTACCAAGTATAACCCAAAAAGGGAAAAAACAAAACCCAAAAGCAAAGGCAACTTTGCCACGATAGATTATTTCCTAGAATGCAAGCAAAAAATGGACCTGCTATCCCGCCCCCCCCCCCCCCCCATTTTTCCCCTTGCTAGTCGTTTTATAAATTTTGCAACTTGCAAGCTCAAGTTTTCTGGAGAGGAAGACTGGCTGGTTAATGGTCAAGCTTAAAATAAATCTGTTCTGCAATTGGGTTTTCCTTCCCCACCCTATCCCCCGCCCTCCCCCAAGCCCAAGCCCAAGCCCACGAAGCATGTTTCCCCGTTTCACACCGTGAAGCAATTCCATGCCCAACTTGCTATGGAGTCAGATGCGACAAACTCCAAGAGCTTCAGTCGCGAGGCGGCGGCAACTCCCCGCAGCATCAGGACCCGGAGCTTCCTCAGCTCTGGACGCGGAACCCCCCAGCCCCCACCCCCCAACACACACGGGCTCTGGGAAGGTCGGGGCGTTACGCACTCCCTCCGTGCTGGGGAAACCGAGGCAGATTGCCTTGAATGATCTAGAGTCCCGCCGAGGCCACCGCCACTGCCTGGCACCCCCCTTTCCCCGGAGACTCTAGAGGCTCCTCTGGCAGCGGCGCGGGGAAGACCCCGCACTCCAATCCCTAGGAAGGGCTCAAGGCGCGGCTGTCCCCAGTCGGACGCCCCCCGGGTGGGGGACCCGCGCGGGTCTCGAAGCATCCACCCAGGAGGAGAGTCCGGCGTGGGGGGACCCCGCAGCCTCCGCCCGCCGTGCAGCCGACCCCCCAAAGTTCCGCGGCCCCGGCGTCCCCCGCTCACCTGCCGCGCCTCGCCGCTCAGGTGGCCGCCGTGCGCCCCTCGCCATGCCCCGCGCGCCCAGCTCCGCGCCCGCCGCCCGGCAGCGCCTAGTGTGCGGGGGACCGCGGGCGGCGGGGAGTGCGGCGCTGCCCACCTCCGGGCGCCCGAGCCGGCCGGGCCCGAGCATGCCCAGTGCGGCTGGCGGGCGGCGCGGGCCGCCGGCGCCGGGTTTTCGCTGCAGCAGGGCCGGGGGGCGGAGCGGCCGGCGCGGGGCCAACCTGTGGGAGCTGCGGGGCGGGCTGGCCCGGCGGGTTTCGCCCCCCCACCACCCCACCCCCTCCTCCGATCCTCCGCCGAGACGCCCGCGGGGACTCGGCTGCGGTCCGCCGGGCTCGACCCCCACCCCCCGAAGCGCTGCCCGGCCGGCTAATTGTTGGGGGTGCACGGGTGCAGGGGTGCAGGGCGCGCCCAGGCTTCCACAGTAACTTTTCTGAGCGTCGCGTCGCGCGGTGCTTTGGGAACACCCGGACTAAGGCTTCTCCCAAGCCTGGAGCGCGAGCAGCACCCGCGGACACGCGCGCGCGCACGCCCGCACCTTACCACGTCTCCGACGCCGCTGCCCCAGCCTCGCGGCTGGCGATCTGAAGCGGCGCCGCGCTTCTCGGATGTCGGTGCTAGACGCTGTGAAGAGGCTGCGGACTATCCCAGGACGACCTGAAGGAACGCCGCTGCCTTCCGAGAGGCGGCCGAAGGGCAGGCAGGAGGTTCCAGCAAATTGTTTTTTCTATTTATATTTTTTAATTTGTCGTTTCCTAAGGGTTTTCTTTTTCTCCCCCTAATGCACAATATGGTGCTCGTATTTTAAGTTTAAAAGGCGAGTTGCTTTAGAAACGTTTTTGGAAATAACGCTAGAAGTTTAGCAGCACAATCCTGCCGCGTAAACTGCTTTTTCTTTTTTCTTTTTTTTAAATGTCTTGCCTAAGACCTTCATTTCGGGGCCGGCCCAGGCTCCGCCCCGGCCCCGCCCCTCCCACCTAGCCCCCGCCCCTCGCCCGCACCTCCCTCCCGCGCCCCCTCGGTTGTTGGGGAAACCCGGAACGCTGGATTCACGCAGCGACGTTCACGCTGGGTCCTGCAGCCAGACTGGGCATGTGCCGCTGCCGGGTCAGGGTCTGCAGTTAAGTGAGGACAGAGATGGCTTTAAAGCAACTCTGCGTTTCTCTTTTCTTGCGGGTGGTCTTCAGCAAAGGATGCAAAAAATCTGCACCTCCGACCTCTCGCCCCGGGCTCAGACCCGCAGAAATGGGTCAGGACCCGACTGAGCATGCTCTGGGCAGTGCCAGACTCCCGCACGCGGCTGCCTCTGGCTGCCCAGGATTGATGTAGCCATGCTGGTTCATCACGACATCGAAGGTCAGGAGAGGCGTCCTGGACACGTGGGCAGGTGGACCCTGCCCAGGGGGGCTGGGTGCGGGGGATCTGATTTCCCAAGGACTCAAAGCCTGATTTCCCTCCTTTCAAAAAATTGCAATTAGAGGTAATTTAACACTAGTTTTATGACATCCCCGATACCAGCACAATTTTAGCCCTTAACTCTTTGGCTGGTTCTTTTTGTAAAATGACCTTCGGCATTCTTTCCTAGTGTTTGTTTGTTTGTTTTGCTTTTGGGGCCACACTCTGTCATGCTCAGGGGTTACTCCTGGCTCTGTACTTAGGAATTACTCCTGGCGGTGCTCAGGGGATCTCTTTCCTAGTCTTCAATATGTTTTAACAGTCGCGTTCGAACTCAATAAATTTTCACTCTTTTACTAAAGATAAAATATTCCCCGCACTCAAATCATTTCTCAGAATTATATTCCTTAATTTCTCACCATCAAGTACAATCCTTTCTTTTTCTTCTTCAGACGATTCTGCATGCACTTCGCAAAGTATTTCTTTTTGCCTTCCCTTGACATTCCCAGAGCTCCCATGCTTAGATACATTGGAGGCAAGTGTGAGGAATTGGCTTTTAATCCTCTATGACTGAAGGCTGAAGTGGAGATTTTTTAAGACTTGAGTTTAATAAACTTGAGAACCCCGAGAGCGCCTTGCATTGAACCATGCAGGTGCTTGGAATAGTTGTGTGTTCCCAGAAGGAAGAAGATGGGGGGAGGGGTGGCCGGGGTGTCAGTTTACCGGGTGAGATTTGGTGTTCCAGTGAGGAAATTTCCTGAGTGGAATTGAGTGAGCTTCCTTGCGGGGGGAGGTTCAGCTTCCAGTACTTAGAAACACCATCTTCAGGGGAAGTTTACTAGCTGGGAATAGGATAGCCTAAATACTTCCTCCTAGGGGCAGAACTTCTGCTGGGGTCCCTAGCATCCCTGAGCTTTGAAATTCATTTCTTGCCGCTCCTTCTGGATACTGCTCCAGAACTGGGTCTGGAACTTGGCTATAGTCCTTAAACATCCACACTCTTCTTCCCGTCTGGAACTTTCTACTCTTTCAACGTCTACAAAGGAGCTGTCTTAGTGTCTTCTATCTTGTTCTCATCCTTCTCTTTCAAGTTTTTAGCCCATACTACTCTCTTCTGGGTACTCTGTCCCCTGGCTTCTTTCCTGCTTCTCTCCTGATACCTCTCACCCTCTGAATAGTCTTCAGTACCAAGATGACATCTAGCTGGAGGATGGGAATAGCTGGGCTAGCATTCCTGCACTCCTTCCGGTTCTAATTGGTTACCGTCTGTGCCTGGGGATAGTAAAGTAGGTAAGGACACTTGCCTTGAACACTGCCAATCCAGGTTTGACCCCTAGCACCACATATGTTTTCCTGAGACCACCAGAAGCATCACTGAATGCAGAGCTAGGAGTAAACCTGGTGTGGCCAAGGAAAAAACCAAAACCAAATCCTTGTGTGTAATCTATTACATTACAGATATCTTTATAGATACTTAGATTACGTTAACTTCTAGGAAATTTGAGCGCACTGCATCCCAGTGGAATTCACAAATGGTAGTTGCCTTTTGGTTTGTCCATTCTGGTTTGGTTTCATGGCACTGAGGTTTTTCAGTGCTACACACTACAAATATGAATGTTATGCTAGATTTATCTATCTGATTTTCTCCTGTCATTCAGCTAGTCCCTGGTACTGTCCATCCTTCCTACCCTTAGACATCTCTGAATATAGACCTTGTACCTATTGCACTTCAGTGTATCTTCTGAAATCCTTGAATGGATTCCTGTGCAGTGCCTTGGGGATAAAGTTCAAGTCTCTGTCTCTGTATTAGTCTCCAACTAATCAGTTCTCACTGTCCTTTCTAGTCAATTCCATTTGTCATGCAGATTCATACCTCCATGTTATTCTGTTATGTCTCTCAGTTGTTTTCTTTCCTAATCCCTTGTTCACCCAATGACAAATCTTTTTTTTTTCTTTTTGGGTCATACCCGGCAATGCACAGGGGTTACCTGTCACTCAGGAATTACCCCTGGCAGTGCTCAGGGGACCATATGGGTTGCTGGGAATTGAACCCGGGTTGAACACATGTGAGGTTGACCTACCCGCTGTACTATCTCTCCAGTCCCCGCCCCCCCAACCAACAAATTGGCTCCATTTCTCTGACCTCTTCCAGATGACTCCTCTTGAGTACTTTTGACACTTACCTAAACTAATTTTCCTTCATGTCTACTGCTTTGTTGATGGTGTGATCAAAAGAAATTATGTCAAACATCTTTATCTCTTTGCTCATCATCCTCAATGAATTTTTACTTAGCTAAATGAATGATAAGTATTTGCACCCATATCAGACTTAGTGTTTTAGTAGTTTTTATAATTGTTTCTGACAATTGTAACTAGAGGGGGGAATAAAAAGAGAAAAACTCACATTTACAATATGAGTGGTTGTATCCCTTTTAATAATATAAGATCTCAGAGTTGACCCCAAACTTAGAGAATTGTCTTCACGTTCAGAAAAAAACTGGAAGGGGCTGGGGCTGGAGCGATAGCACAGCGGGTAGGGCGTTTGCCTTGCACGCAGCCAACATGACTGACACAGGTTCGATTCCCAGCACCCCATATGGTCCCCTGAGCACCGACAGGACCAATTCCTGAGTGCATGAGCCAGACTCCTGAGCATCGCCGGGTGTGACCCAAAAAGCAAAAAAAAACCCCCAAAACTGGAAGGGGACTAGAGAAATAGTACAGGAGGTAGATGTGCTTGCCTTGCCCGCAGCTGACCTGCGTTCAGTTTCCGGCATTCCCCTGAGTCTGCCAAAACTTCTGGGTATGGCCCAAAAACAAAAAACAAAACAAAAATAAATCAGGAAACTCTTTGTAAGATAGTCTAATGCATTTATTAGTCTATAACTTCATGAAGTCCAGCATTGGGTTGCTAATTAATTCCCAGTTTCTATTGTTCTCTTTTATAGTGTTGCCTTCCACATTATAGTTCTGATCTCTAATTATATTGTTTTGCCTTAGAACAGATTTTGTTATTTTTTATTCTATTGAAAGTTTAGCACTCTGGGAAGACAGGTGAACCACTTTGGCATAAGTATAATGTCTTCTGGTCTACCAGCTCACATTGTCTTTGAAAGCACCTAGAGCTAACTGTGGAGGGTCAACCTGTTTCCAAGTGCCCCTGGGACCATGACCTCATGTCCTATCTCCTGTGCAGAGTGCTCCAAAGCAGTGATTTTCAACTGCTGGTTTTGGGATCTGTAAGTTTAAAAAAGTTGAAAGCCAGTGGCCCAGAGGACACAATTTTAACAAGCTCTTTGCAAACACATTACATTTGAGAACCACAGTGCCAACCCATAGGTTCAAAGGAAAAGAGAAGGTCTGGTGAGAAGTACAGTACAAGTACTGGAGAAGTACAGGGCAGGTGCTTGCATGCGACTGACCTGGATTCTATCTCCAACACCCCAAATGGTCCCCTGAGCACTGCCAGGAGTGATCCCTGAACATAGAGCTGGGAGTGAGCCCTGGATTTTGTTTTCCTAATTAAAAATATTTGTTGATCCAGAGAACTTCAAATTGCTCCTTTACTGATTTTTAGCAGGAACATATATGGGGGCGGGGGGCAGATAATTATCCCTGTGTGTACTTTTTCTATAGCCTTGGCCCACAGCTGTGTGAGCATCAGAACCCTATTAGAACGAGCATGGGAGGATGGAGAGTGTTCACCAAGGCATAACTCCATAGGCCTTATATTGTGACAGCTCTCCTTGAGACCACAGGTGGACCATACTGACTTTGCATCATGGCAGCTCTCCATGAGACCACTAGAGGACTCCACTGACTTTGCATCACCCCTGAGACAGACCTGCTTCTGATTTCTGTGAATGCATTCCTCTGTCTGAGCATCTTATTTGTTTCCAAATAAGCCCTGTTTGTTTTGAAGTCCGCAGTTGATATCTGGACACGTATGGCAAGGGGAGGGTTGTCGCAAGTTGGTCAAGGTTGTTGACCAACTCTTGGTCAAATCCATCTCTTGGATTTTACTGGGTGAGCCATGGAGGATGGCTGGTTATATTTTTCAGCAACTCTCTCAACACGAGGGGAGCAGGTCAGTGGGTCAGAGGAAGTCTGGACTTTACCCCTTCCTTGAGAAAGGAAAAGGAGAGGCTTGTGACTTGACATTAGAGTTTCCTCCTAGTCCTGGGACTCTGAAAGCACATGCTTAGGAAGGGGAGCGAGAAGGAATGGAAGGAAACCTATTTCCTCTATCGTCTTTGCCTGCAGAGTATGTAGCGCCTTGAAGGGCTGAGGCAGCAGTGGGGAAGTACTCCCTTCCGTACTGTGAGTTTAGAGGAAGCCCGGATGCTGGTCCTTTGGAGGCTTGCAAGTGTGTGGTCTCCTTAGCCAGCTGCAAAGCTTAGGGAAGCCACAGCTGTGTTGCTGCTTCCAGGAGGCAGAAACCTGGCGGGAAGGGTGGCAGCTCTCCTTGAGACCACACCAACCCCTTCTTCTCACACGGTTTGTCTGTCAACCG